AAGCGAAAGATATTTTTGTTGAAAAATAATTTGAAGCCGTATGCAATATTCAACTTAGTAGTATATAAAACTTAGTATGCAATGAATCACTTAGTTTCGGTGCATTTTAAGTTTACTGAGGAACTCTTTAAGATTCCCAATAAAAGGCACATTTCTAAATAGTAGGCACTTTCAACAATGGTAATTAGAAGGTAGTACCACTGTAGTGCTGAAGGCGGAATGCAATTTTCGCTTTTTCTACGTTTTCTTTCTCTGCTTTGGTGTGTCTGCTCATTTTCATTGACACCCACCCACTCGGCCAAACATTTAGCGATTTTTTGGCAAACATTTCTATTAGGTAAATTCACAGATGGCCCCAGGGGAAAGTGGGGTGCAAACAGTATGTGATGAAGCAGAAGAAGAGCAGGGGGCGGCAATTGAAAAATGTCACTTTTAATGTGCGTTTTAAATTTTGTAAACGAAGCCAAAACAATTTGTGCCATCCAAATATTTTTGTTTTTTTTTTTGATTACACGACAGCATTTTGCTGTTGTTGCTTTTGCCCTCGAATACAGCTTGAAAACAAAGAGGCAAAAGCAGAGCAATTATCAAAATATATACAGAAGTCGAAAACTGAGTGGGACAGAGAGAGGGAGAGAGAGGGATATGGAGGAGAAGAGAGCCGAAAACGAAAACAAAACTCTAACACACAGCCAGTTGCACTTGAATGCACACACAAACGCACTTTTCAGCAACTCAGCTGCAACGAAATGTTGTTGCTATCCTCTCTTTTGCAGCTAAGCTCTTTTTCTCAATCTCTCTCTCCTCTAGCAGCGTCGCACAGTGGAACGAAAACATGCACAAATTAAAATGTTTAATGCAATGAGATTGTAAATAACAAAACAAGCTATGCTAAAGTTAAAGAACGAAATATTTAAATAGTATTTGTCCTTGTTAAACTCATTATTTTAAATAGCTTTCTGTTTACTATGATAGGTATCTCACTTTTGGCACAGTGTGCCCAAATGTGTTCCACTATCAGTTCGTTTCGATTCCACTGCTTTGTTGTTGGTCGTCTAATGCGCACATACACACACATACATATACGTGGGCGAGTGTATCTGTGTGTGATTTTTTTCCTTCATTGTTTGTGTTTTGAAATATTGTTTTTTTTCGCGTCACATACAAAACAAAATTTCCACTACTTTTGACATTTAAATAACAGCAAATACTTGGTGAAACAGTTTCTGCTCTCTTCTTCACTTTTCACAGCTTCGCTTCCCTCTTTTTTTCGCTCTATTCTTGGCTCTTTGTTTGCACAACTTACACGTCTGTGATTTCGACAGAGCAACAATAAACAAATAGTTGCATAAATAGAGGATTTAATTTTTCATATACGTACACATATATACACGATTTTCTTTGCTTTTCGTTTTCCATTTTTTTGCGCGTCAAACAAAAACAACTAGAAGAAGAAGAGGAAGAACTTACCACTTGCGTTGTTGTTGCTGTTCGTTGGTTGAATCAGCAGCAGCTGAAACACAACAACACTGCCACTCGTTTCGCTCGTTCCACTTTTCTCACACGTTCCGCAGAGCGCGCGCAAAAACAACAACACAAACAAAAATCATATGTTTTCAGCTGCTTGCTCTCCTACTCTCTCTCTTTCGTGAATTAGCTTTTGTTGTTGATTTCCTTTTTGGTGTGTGCTTTTCGTCAGTCGTTATTGTTCTTGTTGTTAATTCTTGTTTGGAGCTCCTCTTTATTATTATCTTCGGTTATTGCAGGCGGCAGCAGCAGCAACAAAATCTCCAATTGCGTCTTGCTTTTTCTCTCTCTTTCGTTCCCTCTTCCCCTTATGTTGTGTTTATATGCTTCTTTTTATTTAGATTTGCCACGCCCTCCAGCTGTTGTTGCTTAATATTGGGCGTCTTCTAATTAATTACAAGCTTTTTCAAAACGCGCAGCGAATTCTCAACTGCGGAGCTGAGTTTTGTTTCAAAAAAACTGAACTATTTTTTTGTATGTTTCTTCTTCGTCTTCCTCTGCCGCTGCCGCCGTCGACGCAGAGCCCTATTGCTGGCTCACTCGCACTCGCGCACACAATCACACGCACACGCACCAATACAGACACAACGACTGCGCTGCGTCGTACGTTTTACTTGAGTTTCCTTTTCGTCGTTTTTCGTTTATGATTTTGTTATTGTTATCGTTGTTGTTGTTGCTGCTGTTGCTTTTGCCTACTGCCAATGTTATTTTTGTTGCTGCACATAAAGTAACTGCGACATTAAATCTGCAAAACGTTCGCCTTGTTTTCGTACTCTCCCGTTAACTCATATATATATATATATATACACTGTTGGAAAAAATAATAGAAACACGTTGGTTGAATCACTGATTTTAAATTTTGTGCTCAGAACGAAAGTAATATTTTTTAATCTTTAATCTTTATTTCACAGTAAGGAACAAAAATATTTTCTTTTATCTTTATATTAAATAAAAATTATTAACTTCATTTTTGGCGCTTGGAAAAAATAATAGAAACAGAACTCTTAAAACTTTTTTCCTAGTTTTTCATTTTTATGAATTATCTTATAAAAATAGTTGTAATATTAATATTTAGTGGTATTTCCTTTATTTTTTATAAGTGCTGAGCATCGACGGGGCATTGAATTCACTAAATTGGCGCAAATTTCGGGGTTAATGGCATACCATTCTGACCTAACTTTTTCCCACAGCTCTTCCTTATTTTTTGATTTAAAACTTCCAATTCTTCTTTTTAATATTCCCCATAAATGCTCCATGGGGTTTAAGTCCGGGGATTGGGCCGGCCACTCCATAACATTAATTTTTTGGTCCTGAAACCATTTCTTAGCAAGTGTTGACGAATCATTATCCTGCATGAACTCCCATTTTAAGGGCATTTCCTCCTCAGCATATGGTTTCATAACATTCTCCAATATGTTAATGTAGTCGGGAGCACACTTCCTATCTTTTACCCGGAGTATCGGACCAACTCCAAACGCGGAAAAGCATCCCCATATCATGATGTTACCTCCACCATGTTTTACTGTTTTTTTTGTGTGCTTTGGATCAAATGCGGTATTTTTTGGACGTCTTACATATATTTTGCCATCAAATCCGAACAAATTAATTTTAGTTTCATCAGACCATAGAACATTATTCCAGTTTTTACGGTCTAGGTGTCGCTTTGCAAAGGATAGTCTTTTTGTGATATTTCTTTTACTAAGCAGTGGAACTTTCTTAGCCGAGTGTGCCTTCAAATCCTTTTCAATTAGTCGATTTCTTATTGTTCGACTTGACACTGATGTCTGGAAAACATTTTTCAGGTCTGTCGACGACAAAAAAGAATTTTTTTTGGATGTTCGAATCAAAAGGTCGTCGAACCTTTTGGATGTGGCTCGCTTCCTGCCCCGTTTCTCCTTCGTATCTTTATAATGAATCGCGGAAAACACTTTTTTTGCAGAGCAGTGCATTAGTTCAGCAATTTCCCTTATTGTTTTTCCTTCGTTTTTTAGTTTTTTTATAATATCTCGTTCTACAGCTGAACAGTGCACTCCGCGCCCCATTCTGAATATAAAAGCCGAAATTAACCTTTTTTCTTACAAAATCACCTATTATGAGCTAAACATACCTGAAAGTATTTATTATATTGATTTTCTTACAAAATTAACAGGGAAAAACTCAAACAAATCGCAGAAACGTAGCTTGTTTCTATTATTTTTTCCACTCAAACACGTGACCACTTTAAATATCGCTATGTACCGCAAATAACAAGAGCGAAATCAACTCAAAAAGAAGAGCACAATACGGTTTATCCACACACACTTCGTACATAATTAGTAATTTTGTTTTACATGCAGGAGCGATTCTTGCTTTTATTATTTTTTCCAACAGTGTATAAGTATATATCGATTAAGAGACGATTTATGCGTCGCAACAGAAAAAAAAAGAAAATAACCAAGAGACACTGCTGCCAGAACGAAAGGGGAAAAAAATAGTACTAGCTGGTCTGACTGCTGGCGAGCGTTTGTCTTTATTCTTGCAATATCTTTAGCGGACACTTAGTATTATTAATTGTTATTATTTTGGTTGCTGCGCCGTTTCTGTCTCTGTTTTTTGTCTCGCTCTTTTGGTTTCTGGGTGCTGTGCCAGTGTGACCGTGGCAGATGCAGTGTGAAATACCAAATTAGTAGGGTGCTTGCGTTTCGTGATATTTATAACAAGGCGCGCGGAGTGTGACCAGACTTTATGATTTTTGAATTTTATTAGTAGAAATTTTTAACGGATGAATCCAGCTGCAGTCAGGTAACTTACACAAAATTGTGTCAAAATATTGACAAAACAACATCAAATAAAGAAGTAATTGAACTTAATATGAAAACAAGTTACCTAGTAATTATAATATCATAACTTGTTATGTGTTACTGAAATATAAATGTTTTTAAAAAACATATAGTTTGAAATTCGCATATTATTTAATAATTATTTTATGATTAAATTATGACATTATTAAATTTGAGCTTTTTTGGTATTTTTTAGTATCTTATTGTCCTAGGCCGGAACCGATTTGTCAATTCAGACCAACGCCATTTGGCAACACTGGCGCTGCATTAGCGGCAAAAAAAAATAATTTTTGCCATTTACGTTGGCGTTAAGTTCTGTCGCACAACAATTATAAAGCTCGACCAGCTGGGTTGGTAAGCGTTCGTGGTCGCTCCCATTTGCCCCAGGATTCCTCTAATCCTGTCCAGCGGCATATTTCTGCACAACAGCCACACGGCGCACTGTGTTTGTTGTTTTTCGAAATTCGCAAAGTGTGTGTTTATTTGCGGTTGTGCCTATCTGTGTGTGCGTGTGCGTGTGTGTTGGGTTGTGTTTTGGTATCCAGAGTGAGTTCATCCAAATAAGAAAATGGAAAGGAAATGCAGAGAAGAAAGTGTTATATGTTGAAAATAATATATTTGGGTCAAATCTGTGCGTGCATGTGTGTGCGTGGGTGTGATTGTATATAAGACACACTCGTTTTTTTCCTTAATTTCCTTTCGCTTTACTTTCGTTTTCTTTGCGCCTTCTTGTTTTGCTGCTCCGCATGTTTGTTGTTGCTGCTGCACGCGCTTCTTCTGCCGGCGCAACTAATTCGATTTATTTATAAAACGTAGATTTATACATGTTTAAATATTCTACGCTAAACAAATGCAAAATAAAAGCATCTATCTATTCGCGTGTGTGTGTGTTGTGTGTATGTGTGACCTTCGTGCAATTTTCCAATTAGGAAAGGGGACGAGGATGATGAGGCGGCAGGGGAGAAGAAGGAAGCCGAGGAGCGAGGTCCTGCGATAATGCAATCAGATCGCCTGTGCATGTGTGTGCATTTTGTGTGGGTATTTTCCCAGCTTTAATTCAATTTCCCCGAGCAACAAGCACTTACGGTTTTAAAACAATTACACACGGCCACTTTTACAGTTTGAAAGCTTTGCAATCAGGCAATTTACCTTCTCCCTTAGTTCCTCCATATTTATTTGTTTTTTTTTTTGTTGTGTGTTTTATTTTTTTACTTTTCTATCGCTAATTCTTTTGCAGCACAAGAGCGGCGGAGGCGGCGGCAGAGAGAAAAAGAGTGAAAAACAAACCAAAAGACACGGCAAATCAGTCTAGTCAACAAAAGCAGACCAAATGAGCACGCACTTCGGGACTAACGAGCAGCACAAACTAAGCCAAAAATAAAGCTAAAGATAAAAGAGAGGCAGAAGACATCGCTCACACACACGCACACACTAGCACAAGCCATTACACTGAGCGAAATCGCATCGGAAATCGGCTTCAAGATGCGGGTGGTTGCCATGGTCAGTGGCGGCAAGGACAGCTGCTACAACATGATGCAGTGCGTCGCCGAGGGCCACGAAATCGTCGCCCTGGCCAATCTGCATCCCAAGGACAGAGGTGAGTCCACAAAGACCACTTAGCCGTAGTTTTCGGCGATCATAACAAGCCCAATGGATATAGAAGTCTTTAACCACCCATCACGTTTTTCACGTCGATCATATTTGTTTACAATTCATGCATGATTTAATTCTGAAGAAGAATCATAAATGCTGATAGGTGTATGCTTTCCATTTAGATTTTTGTGACAAGCAGATTCGACAGTGCTATTTTGAATGGCACACAGCATTGGTACTCCTATTTGCAATATCATTTAACACCGATACGCCTTATTTGATCTCTTGCCGCTGTGCCTCTGAATCTCTACTTTCCAGACGAACTGGACAGCTTCATGTACCAGACGGTCGGCCACATGGGCATCGAGATTCTGGCCAGCGCCATGGGATTGCCACTGTACCGGCAGGAAACCAAGGGCAAGAGCACCCAGACCGGCAAGCAGTACGTGCCCACCGATGACGACGAGGTCGAGGATCTGTACAGCCTGCTGGAGACATGCAAGGTGATTGATTGCTTAACGATTCGCCCAAGCCCGAAACCCCAATCCCAACCTCGACCCCTTCCCCTAACTCTGATTATTACGGGTGATAAGAAAACTGGAGGAAATCGCCTGCCATTGCTATTGATACTCTTGTTTTGCTAAGCCTTCTCAATTCCGTATGTAATACACAATTGGTTCCTAACATATATGTATATATTCTCAGGAAAACATTACTATTAGGTATACTTATGTATACAGGGTTTTCTAAAGGTTTTCTATTCACCAGGAAAATACGAGACCTTCAGGCCTCTAAATCTTTATTCCAACAAACTTTCTGTTTAGTTTAGCTTGAAATAGAAGCGGAATAGGTGCACTAACCATAAGCAGTCCTGTCTATATTCGTAAAATCGCAAGTGTGCGTTATCAGATATAGTTATATCACATAGCCTTCGGTTGGTGTCGCTTACATACACGGAAAAAAACGAGCTCTTTTGTAAGCAAATGTCGGTCTAGACAGTTTCGAAACTATACTCGCAAGAAAACATCTTGGGGGGATTCCTTTTCAATGTGCCTGTGTTTATAGGGAATGGGACGCTTGAACTGAATGTTTATACTCGTGGGTGTGGGTTGACTAATTTCTTTAACTGCACGTAATATTTTTGAATTTTTGTTCGTGTCCCCAGCGGAGAGCTGCGAATTGGTACGTAAATCCGCGCTTGCTATGTCATGTCCTTGGGCTCCTGGTCGTGCCCACTCATCCGCGTTCCTGCGCATCAATCAACTGCAGCCCAGATTGCAACCACTCGGTAATTGGGTGGGCGCATTCGCGTTTAAATATTCACATTCGCGATGGGAAGTCGCCGGCGGGTAATCTTATCTCGATGCCCGGCCAATCGAGACGGGACGAACTGTTGCCGTGCACGTGAACCATTCCACCGGGTTAAATAAACCAAAAAAGAAAACACTCAAAATAATAATAGAACAAGTATTAAATATATATGTATCTATGCATCAGAACCGCAGAAACCAAAACAATAACAATGCGGAGCAGGAGTTTTATACTATATAATCGCACAAATTGTTTGCCTTCTGATACTGGGTGAGAATCAAACGGCCCAAGGAAAATTGTTGATGGTGATTACAGTTTGACAGGCCTTATAGGCATTATAGTATTATTAACCGACCATCAGTATCAGTATCGCCTGCACTCAAAGTGTAATTACATTTTTGCATTCGCTTGGCTGATATCGTGCATTACAACTTGATCAGCTTTGAGCTGATAGGAAATTAATTACATTGAAACTGTGTTGTACATAACAACTAATACAGTGTTGTCTTTAACTACGAAAATAGTTTCCACACGCTGTTCCATTATTATAATGTCAATGACTTTAAAATCTATAAGGAATGTAGGTTTCTTGGGCCTCGAATACTGTGATATAACATTCTAATATTATATGTACTTCCTTAGCGTTTAACCTTCATGTGTATCTCTAGTTTGCTTATCATTTTTAATATATGTATTGTGAAACGCTTCACTGAACTAATCCCCCGATTTACAACCATTGTGTCCCATAGATATTTATACGTTTTTTCAGCCAATATATACTTACTATGCCTTTCATTTGCAGCACGAACTGCAGGTGGATGCGGTGGCCGTGGGCGCCATCCTGTCGGATTACCAACGCGTCCGTGTGGAGAACGTGTGCAGCCGCCTGAACCTGATATCCCTGGCCTATCTGTGGAGGAGAGATCAGACTGAATTGCTGCAGGAGATGATCGACTGCCAGGTGCACGCCATCATCATTAAGGTATGAACGAATGAATCCACAATGATTGAATGAGATACACAAACAACAGAAGAAAATAGTTAAGCAACACCTTCGATGGTTGGCAGATTTGTAAGGCAGTTACATTATCGTGGGTGGTGGGTGTTTCAAAACCGATCCAATCGACGGCAGTTATCCATTCCTCAGCTGCGATGTCATTTGTTCTAATGATTGTAAATATATATAAAATAACAACATAATAATGTTGACTATTCGATTGCGAGTAAAGAAAGATGATGTGCCACATTCTTATGTGCGAATGATGGGAGTCATAGCATCACTCGAAACAATTTGTTGTCAAAAGGCAACCTTTTCTTAAGAAGGAGTAGTTGACACTACAGTACTTGAGTCCTCTTAAATAGATACATAGAAGCACAACCATTGTAAGTCTGCACATCGAACCATCGAAGGTGTACTTGTGTCGCAATATACCCACGCTTAACCATCCATGGCGCCTCCATCTCCCCCGATATCCCGGACACAGGTGGCTGCCCTGGGCCTCGTGCCGGATCGTCACCTGGGCAAGTCGCTGCGCGAGATGCAGCCGCACCTGCTGAAGATGCGCGACAAGTATGGACTGAATGTGTGCGGCGAGGGTGGCGAGTATGAGACATTCACCTTGGACTGCCCGCTCTTCCGGCAGCGCATCGTTGTCGAGGACATCCAGACGATCATCAGCAGTGCCGATCCCATCTGCCCCGTGGGCTACATCAATTTCACCAAACTGACGCTGCAGCCAAAGGAGGCGGCGGGGGCGTCCAGCAGTGGCGGCAATGAGGTGGTGTTCGTGAAGCGTTCACTCGACTATATAAGCGATCTGAACGAATCGACGTACAGTGACCTCAGCGATCCGGATTTCAGCGAAACGGAGCTGGAACTGATCGAAAAGGAGACCAGGCTGCGCGAATCGCTTAGCCAAAGTGAGCTGATATCGCGCAGCAACTCCTTTGGCCGCCATCTGGCCGCCACCGCCTCCTCGCCGATACCCATTGTCACGAAGAGCGCCAGCGTCGACGAGCCCACAGCGGCGGCGGCGCCGATTCTGGGCGGAGTTGGAGGACCGCCAATCTGTTCCACCTCAGCCTGTGCGTCTATGCTGCTGACCACCACCGCCGATGGCCTGAGCAGCCTGGCGAGCTCACAGAGCCAGGGCGGTGGTCATGGGCTCGGCAGCAGCACGGCCGCCGTGTGCGGCTCGCTGTCGCTGGCCATCTCCTCGCTTGGGCTCAGCGCCAATACCTGCTGTCATCCGGGAGGAGCTGGAGGAGGAGTCGGAATAGGAGTAGGAGTAGGAGCACCTTCGGCCACCACACAACCGCCCAGTCCGCTGAAGTACGAGCGGGAATTCCGTCCACTGGCCAACGAGGCCAGAGCGGCCATCAATGCCAAGGGCTGGATGTGGCTGGCGGGCATACAGGGTATCCAAAGAGTCTCTATTGCATCTCTATACTATCACTTTCAAGGGACACGGTGGTCACTCGATCTTGCTAAAGTAACCCGTTTCGAATTTGCTTCTATGTGTTATAACCACTTTTCGAAGTTGAGTATAATATGCACAAATTACATATTGTAGTTAAATGAAACGCAAACTAAAACTAACATTACATAAACCAGCACGAAAGCATAAGTAAATTAGTACTAAAAAACTGCGAGTAGATTTATCAGGTGACCACCGTGCTTGACATTTATATTCACATCAAAACTAATGGCTAACGCTTTGGTTAATCCTTCGACAGGCTCCGGAACGGAGGGCATTGAGCAGGGCATGCAGCAGGCATTGGACACGCTGCGCGATATGTGCCAGGCCAAGGGCTACGATCTGCAGGATCTGTGCTACGTCACGCTCTACGTCCGTTCGATCGGCGAGTATCCGACGCTGAATCGTGTCTACCATCGCACCTTCGACTTTCATAATCCGCCGACGCGCGTCTGCGTCGAGTGCCCGCTGCCCGATGGCTGCCATGTGGTGATGGAGGCCATTGCCTACCGCCAACCGGTGGCCGGAACGATATCCAGTGCCGAGGAGCGTGATCGCGAGGGCGAGGAGACTGCGGCGGCGCTGCTCAACGGGCGCCGGAACACGATGCATGTGCAGGGCATCTCGCACTGGGCGCCGGCCAACATTGGTCCATATAGCCAGTCCACTAGAGTGAGATTTACAATCCAATGGGGTGGGGGGGGCTGTATCGAAAGATTGCATTGTACAACCACTAACTCCCAAATCTCTTGCAGATTGGCGACATTACGTACATCTCCGGTCAGATCGCCCTGGTACCCGGCAGCATGACAATCATCGAGGGCGGCATCCGTCCGCAGTGCAAGCTCACGTTGCGCCACATCAGCCGCATTGCCAAGGCGATGAACGCCCACGGTCAGCTGCGTGATGTGGTGCACGGCATCTGCTTTGTGACCCATCCAGCCTTCATTGGCGAGGCGCGTCGCCAGTGGGAGCGTCGCACCACCAATGCCATCATGGACTATATAGTGCTGCCGGCACTGCCGCGTGAGGCGCTGGTGGAATGGCAGGTGTGGGCGCACACCCACAACGATCGTTTCGACTGTAAGGCACATAAATTACAAGTCACAAATACATATTCCTTACCTTATTGCCCATTTTGCTTTACAGATGAGGAGACTGGCTGTTCGGTGGGCGATTACACCATCTCGATACGTCGTCGCTGGAACTACGAGAACAATTGCGCGGCCATCGTTTGCTATGTGTCCACTGGCCTGGCCTCGTCCACCACCCAACTGACGCAGCTGAGCGATGATATACTAGGGAACCACTGCCGCCTGGCGCAGGCGGTTAGTGCCGAGCACCTGGACGAAATTCTCACGTATGTGGTTAATCGTCTGCTAAAGGACTATCCGCTGGCCAAGAAGCAGGCGCAGCCACCGACCAATTCGGGAACTCCACCTGCCACGCCCACGCAACCGGGCGGTGCTGGCGGAGATCAGCACCAGCCAGTGCCGGCGATCCATCTGAAATTGTTCTACCAAGTGAATGCCGCACCGGCAACGGATCTGCTACTTCAGGCGCTGCACGATTTCCGTCTCAAGTGCCAGGATACGGCCGCCATTGTCTACACAGTGCTGCCCGCCTGCAGCCTGCACAACTTCAGTACGTTCCTGTCCATTTGCGGAGTGAGGCACGAGTAGGGGCCCCACGCAGAAAGTTGAACGATGATGATGAGAAGGATAATATAGAAAAAAATGATGAAACAATTTGCTGCCACCGCACCAAGCAGAACACAGAATATATATATATACCACTATATATACGCAGACATATGTAGAATGGGTCTTTATTTCGTTTGACAAAGAATCGCAATGGCAGAGGGTAATCTTTGGATAACTCCGAACCAGTTGGCTTTTATATGATGTGGGTCATAAAATACTACATTTCTTTCGAAAAGCTTCCATGTACCATCTACATTTCGACTTTTTAAATGATCAAGAATCTGTCTGTTGTAAATAATTGATGCCAACTGCCAAGTATTGTCCACAGATTACTCCATTGTTCCAAACTTTTTCAGTAACATCTGCTTGCCCTTTGTTGATATTGTTAACTAGCAGGCGATTCTAAGATCGTAAAGATGCCGTAGAGCCAGCATGCTGTATCCATAGAATAAATCACTTCGTGTCGCAGTTTCGGACCAAACTCTCTCACAAAATGGTAAAACAGAAATACCTAGTACACACTCTAAACGGATCTATGCAACATAAGTGTTTCAGCAACTCGCGATGGAAAACCAAGCATACAAATTCAATTTAAAGCAACTTTATATATTATATACGAAGAAAGCAAACCATTTTTGTGCACTCTATTGCCGAAAAAAACAGAAGAAAACTGTAACTATACTCTTATACAAACTATTAACTATTAATCGTTTTTCGATGTGCTTTTCTTTATGCTCAGACTTTTTATATATATGTATATATATATATATATATATATATGGGTGTGTAAACATATACATCTTAGCGATTTCAGTTCACTTTTCAAATAGCCACAAACTTTTGACCAAAACAAAACAAAAAACACTGAAAAAAACGACAGCATTGTAAAGCAATTAATGTTTATATGTCGTTAAGCTTTAAATATTGTGGAGAGCAGATGATGTGGCATATTCTTCGACCACGTCGGCCATTATTTTCATTATCAATAATCCGAGTGTAGCAAATTCGCCATAGAGAACCTAGATTGTATCATCAATTCTTTTTTTTTTGTTTTAATAGATATGGAAATTACCGAATAGAGATTATTGAATGTGTTGCTTAAAGTACAACTGTCCATAGTTTTTCCTGCACAATCTGCGACAGAAAGAAAACTACTTTGGCTGGATTCCACACTAGAATTTGGTCAACGTAAACTTTTATAATGTAAAGTACGGTACGATATCGATGGGGCGCTGAGCGGAGAAATGATAAAAATGATTATTACATGCTATTATGTATTGTTATGAAAATATATTGATATTGAATGAGTGTCATTACAAAAGTCGACAAAAAAAGAAACCTAAAAAGTGGGTGTTTTTTATTCACGGGCGGATGCGGACTGATAAGTATTGCGGGACGGTCAAGAACTCGCTATAAATATGCTATATAGCTTGGGGATTGGTCTTATCGGTGGTGGTTTAATTTATGGAAATTATCATTTAATATGAAGATCGGCGAAATGCCTGGAAATTGCCAGATAAACGTGGTATTCTCGACTTCTTTGGAGAATATATCATATGAATCAACCAAATTATTAGTCATATTCTCAAAATATTTTTTAACAATATTTGGGCTGTGTTGTTCTTTCTGTATATGTAAGCATATTTTAGTATATTTTACATTAACACCTGCCGTATCTGATAATATGCAACTGCATTCCAAAATGGAAAATAAGTATTCATACTTTTTCGAGAAACAACCTCACTTAAAAAATAAAACAGCATTTATTAATCATAAATAACATATGGCCTCAGTAGGTATTTTTACATTTTGTTTAATAGATCTTTCGTATTTACTTTATCATTTATCATAGGATAATTTTCTTCTCACAATATTGAAAAAATTTTGCTTAAAATTTGAATTTGTAATGTAAATATCTGCTTAAATAAAATATTATTGAATTATGAATGAAGTATATTTGACTTAAATATTGAAATGGCCAAGTGTCAAGTCTAAAAATAGTCTGGGGAAATTGTAAATAATTACGTCCCACTTAAAGTAACGGCAAACATCCAGACCAAGCTGGAAGCATAACGGTAAGCCTGGGGCAATGTACACGTCAGTGTTCGTTGCTTGCGTTACTTAAGGCAAACACATATTTGCATCAGACAAACGCAACACCAAAAAGAGAAAAAAAAAAAGAAGGCCAAACATCGCACTCTCTCCGCTCCGCAAATGTTTGGGTAAACAAATTGCGGAAAGCTCAGAGAGCGGGAGAGGCTTCAGTGGGCGGTACCGCTACGCCTGCGACACGTCAGTGCTAGAGGTGGAACATGCTTAAGAGAATTATCGGTTAAAATTGCATTTAATGTATTGAATAAATATGAATGTAGTTTTATATAAACAAAACTATTATTATTCAAAAAGATATGGTTAAAAATAGTTATTATAATATAATAAAATATTATTTTTATTTTATATTAATTATTTACCTTTTAATATGGATGATTATAGTCGATTATTAATTCAAATATGTAATAAATCAATTATTATATCTCCTCAATATCTGCATTCATGAAGTCATTTTGTTTAATTTATTTGGTTCGATTTATTCGATTGCCAGATGCCTATCGATGTTTCTAGAAAACTGAACTCATCGACACGTCAGTGGTACGTGGGAGCGAAGAGCAATAAATAGCCGGAAAGCAGAGAGCGAAAATCAGTTTCAAAACAAAAGTACAAGGAATAACAGCACAGCAAAAGAGAAACGCGATTTATTAAATACAATTTATTATCCCAAGAACAACGTAACGAGCTGTGACCGCAAATATAAACAAGAAATCGTTACATTCCCATAAGATCAATTACAACCAAGCCAAAAAACAACAAAGACTAATACTTCTGTGACAAAAAGTGACAATTACCTAAATAAGTGAATTTTTTTGAATAGTTTTAGTTAGAAAATGTAAGTATACAAAACTGAAATTATATATTGATTTATTAAGTGTATATTCAAATATATATATTTTTTATGAATATGGTATTTGTGTGTGATGCAAGAAATTAACTGGCTTGGATAAAGTTATGCATTCTATTTTTTTTATAACGAAGTTGAGCGAACTATTTAATTCAACATTTAATGGATTTGCCAGAAAGGTGTTAATAGAAAGAATAATATAAAACACAAAAACATTGGTAAATGTAAATATACTTTTTTCGCATAGCCACAAAACTGTCTAATGAACTTGATATTGATAAAGATAACACACATATTGTCTTTAGAAATAAATGAATATATTCAAAAAGCGGTTATTCGTTGGACCAAGAAACGCGCTTCCCAACACTGAAATACCACTGACGTGTCTTTTTGGCCCCAGAGTTGCACATGTGTGTGTGTGCCGCAGCGTGTGACTGTGTGCGTGCGTAGAAAGCGCCGGCAAAAAATTCAGAAAAGCAGCAGCCACATATTCTACGGCTCTGTCAGTTCAGTTTGAAGCGCCGAGAAAGCACATTAAATCGAAACAAATCCGAAATTGTTAACCGCTCAGCGATAAGTGTAAGTGTTAGTTCAAAGAATATGCATAAATACAAGCTGAACCTTAGCAAGCATAGTTGCTAAGTTCACCTGCACTCCCAGAATATTTGTGAAAAGGAACCGAATGCGAAGAGGGACACCAATACACTACAACTTTACGGTCGCCATGTTGGCAAAAGTAAAAGGGGTCTGCAACAAAAAGTTTGCCAGCACGTGCCCAAAAAGAAATAGAAACGTGCGAATTTATGTTCTTTTATAGTTGCATCCAATAAAGGCCAACCAATGACGTGGTGGTCGTGACGCACAAATTAGTTAATATACAAAATGACAAGTTCGGTGAATGAACTCTGTCTGTCTTTGTCTTAGTTTATTACATCTTAAGTGTGCATTTAGATGAAGTTCTTGTTTTCTTTTTACAGTAATTTACTGTTAATTTAGCATGCAGTTCCTATTTTTTTTAAGACCACAATGCGGCTGCGCTCTTAGGCGTCTGTGTGTGAGTGGAAGTAGGGAGGGCTATCTGTGTGAGTATGCGTGCGCTCAATCTGCTTGGTACACGTCATTTATATGGCGATTTATAAGCTCATCGCTTTGCTCTCTCTGGTCGGAAAGTACACGTCAGTGCGGCATAGTAACAAAAGAATAAAATACCTGGAGTGGTTAAGCTACAAACAGCTGTGCAAATCCAGCTTTCCTTCTAGAATTGTGCGTGGCGAGGGGTACTTTCTCGGTGTGCGGGAAAGAACGAAACGAATTAAACCAGTTATTTGGTCGCTCTCTCGCCGGCAGCAGCACTCGCTCTCTTGTCCAAAAGAAAGAACCAGAAATTGTTACACGTATACAAATTTCGTAGCTCTCTCGCCTTCCGGCGACGTCGACGTCGGTCAATGTCAGCAGAACGGAGATGAGCGCACCGCTTAACAGTTGCTGGGCAGTTAGCCATTGGAGTAGACGTGTTCTTTAACTGATCTTGACTAAAAGAAAAGGTATAAGGTACTGATACTGGTAGAATCGTGGTTAAATGAATAAGGTTGCCAAAGTGGCACAGCTAACGGTACATGTTGACAGTTGACAACCTGGCCAACGTCATCAGTAGTGGCTCTCGCAGAGAGGGAGGGAGAAAGACACTGTGTGTGTGTGGGCGTGATTGTGTTGACGTGTACAAAAAGCCGAGCTTGAAATAATTGGGCGAAAATTAACGTTATCCCTTCTTTATTTGCAGTTTTCCTGAGAGATCTTCAATATGAGGTTATGCATATTACTGGCTGTCGTGGCCTTCGTTGGCCTCTCGCTGGGCGAGGAAAAGAAGGAGAAGGACAAGGAGCTAGGCACAGTGATCGGCATTGATTTGGGCACCACGTATTCCTGGTAAGTTAGACCTGCTCTTCCATCGACTTCAAAACCCCTTTATGCCCACGTAAAATATATAGATCATAAACTATACGGTGCTCATAAATTCTACAGTTGATTTTCGCAATACGCAAGTACCTATGCGTTAGCTAGGACGTGTTCATCTCAAATTGATGTGCTTTTATTACAAATCATAATAACATTAATAATTTAAGCATTTGTATAGTTGAAATGCCCTTAAAATAATGTAAGATTGTATAAGATCTCACTCAATTTTCAAGAAACGTAGCTTTATCTATACTCTTGTATACTTGTATTTTTAGCTGACACTTCCACGTGCACATTATAATAAGTAATTTTCGTTGTAGTTCCATGATTCAAGTTCAAGTTTAGCACTGCTTACATGTGTAGACGACTATCTCTACCACTGGGCAACTTTAAAGTTTTTAAGTTTCAATTTACGATTCGTTACTAATCGAAATATTTCTCACCTTAATTCTCCTTACAGCGTTGGTGTGTACAAGAATGGACGCGTTGAGATCATCGCCAACGATCAGGGCAACCGCATCACTCCCTCCTACGTCGCTTTCACCGCTGACGGTGAGCGTCTCATTGGAGATGCCGCCAAGAATCAGTTGACCACCAATCCCGAGAACACGGTGTTCGATGCCAAGCGTCTGATCGGTCGCGAATGGTCCGACACCAATGTGCAGCACGACATCAAGTTCTTCCCCTTCAAGGTTGTCGAGAAGAACTCGAAGCCCCACATCAGCGTTGACACGTCGCAGGGCGCCAAGGTGTTCGCACCCGAGGAGATCTCCGCCATGGTTCTGGGCAAGATGAAGGAAACCGCTGAGGCCTATCTGGGCAAGAAGGTCACCCACGCCGTCGTTACCGTGCCAGCCTACTTCAACGATGCCCAGCGTCAGGCCACCAAGGATGCTGGTGTGATTGCCGGTCTACAGGTGATGCGCATCATCAACGAACCCACTGCTGCGGCCATTGCCTACGGTCTGGACAAGAAGGAGGGCGAGAAGAACGTGCTGGTGTTCGATTTGGGCGGCGGTACCTTCGATGTCTCCCTGCTGACCATCGATAACGGAGTGTTCGAGGTGGTGGCCACCAACGGTGATACTCATTTGGGAGGTGAGGACTTCGATCAGCGTGTGATGGATCACTTCATCAAGCTGTACAAGAAGAAGAAGGGCAAGGACATTCGCAAGGACAACCGCGCTGTTCAGAAGCTGCGTCGCGAGGTTGAGAAGGCCAAGCGTGCCCTCTCCGGTTCCCACCAAGTGCGCATCGAAATTGAATCCTTCTTCGAAGGCGATGACTTCTCCGAGACCCTGACCCGTGCCAAGTTCGAGGAGCTCAACCTGGATCTGTTCCGTTCCACCCTGAAGCCAGTGCAGAAGGTGCTCGAGGATGCTGACATGAACAAGAAGGACGTGCACGAAATTGTGCTGGTCGGTGGCTCCACTCGTATCCCCAAGGTACAGCAGCTGGTCAAGGACTTCTTCGGCGGCAAGGAACCATCCCGAGGCATCAATCCTGATGAGGCTGTGGCCTACGGTGCTGCTGTGCAGGCTGGCGTGCTCTCTGGCGAACAAGATACCGATGCTATTGTGCTGCTCGATGTGAACCCACTGACCTTGGGTATTGAGACCGTCGGCGGTGTGATGACCAAGCTGATTCCCCGTAACACTGTCATCCCCACCAAGAAGTCGCAGGTGTTCTCCACAGCTTCCGATAACCAGCACACTGTCACCATCCAGGTGTACGAGGGCGAGCGTCCCATGACCAAGGACAACCATCTGTTGGGCAAGTTCGACCTGAATGGCATTCCACCAGCACCCCGTGGCATGCCCCAGATTGAGGTTTCGTTCGAGATCGACGCCAACGGCATCATGCAGGTCAGTGCCGAGGACAAGGGTACCGGTAACAAGGAAAAGATCGTCATCACCAACGACCAGAACCGCCTGACGCCCGATGACATCGATCGCATGATCCGCGATGCCGAGAAGTTCGCCGATGAGGACAAGAAGCTGAAGGAGCGTGTGGAGTCTCGCAACGAACTGGAGTCGTATGCCTACAGTCTGAAGAATCAGATCGGCGATAAGGACAAGCTGGGTGCCAAGCTGAGCGATGAGGAGAAGACCAATCTGGAGTCGGCCATTGATAAGTCGATCAAGTGGCTGGAACAGAATCCCGAAGCCGATCCCGAGGAGTACAAGAAGCAGAAGAAGGATCTGGAGGCCATCGTTCAGCCCGTGATCGCTAAGCTGTACCAGGGTGCTGGTGGTGCTCCTCCTCCAGAGGGCGGCGATGATGCCGATCTTAAGGACGAGCTGTAAGATGGCCACCCCCCTCACATTATATACACACAGCCCAGCCCGCATCCATTCGAGATCATAGTGTTGGAACTCAGACTGAAAACACAATTTTAACTTAATTGCAAACGCAGTAGCCACAACAACAACAACAAGATGAAGATTTAGCAGATCACAACAGCAAAAAGATTACACTACTTTACAGCCCTCAGCAGCCATCCCCCATCCATTCGACCTCTAAGGCAAAACTTTCCAGAAAGAAATCCATTAGAAAAACATGAAAACAAAACGAAAGAAAAAACACAATCCTTTTTTTTATACATATTTTTTTTTCTACACTTTAATTTAAAGTATTTTTTTGTCGGCAAAAAATATGAGAAATGTAATAACGATTTATTCGAGTGTTCCTCGCATTTCTCACGCCCTTCCGCCCACTTCCCCCACGTTAGCTGCATAATTATGTAAAACTGTAAATTTTTTTTATATATGTATACACATAACTGTGACGACTGTAAGCCCCGAAATCCCCGAGGAGTCGCAAATCAATAGGTTAGCATTAGCCTACGGATATGTAAAGCGGAAGTAACAAACAAACAAACAGACAAATGTTATATGTATAAGCGAGAGCAATGGCCCGAATTCCACGGGCATATTGGCACTGATATCTGAATAGCATTGCGAATATGTCGGCAAATCGGGCTGTATTGATGAGATATAGAAGGGAGGAGCACAGGGAGCTGCGGGTCGTGCGGAGAATAGGTCGATGAGAATGCAAACGGCAAAAAGAGCAAGAGATAAACCACAAAATCATAAGGAAACCACTAGAAAGCAGCGGCAAACACCATCGGTCAGGCTTCATAAATGGGTTCTTCGATTTTACGAAGAATTTTCTAATTTATTTAAAAATAAAATAAAAAAAAATTGAAAAAATTATATCTGTTGTTTTCAATTGGGCAGGAGAAGTGGGTGTTGGGTTGGGATAAGGGTGTATCCTATTGCCAAAAAAGAATAACAATATTTGTTGTTTTTCTTCATCTTTATTGTTTTCTCCCCATTCGCTGGCATCGAAATGCATCATCATTATTTCATTTCCTTGCGCAACATATTGACCTTATCTTTGCTTTTTGCAATATAATTCCTGCGATAACTGCATTATCATCTTACGCCAACAGTTTTCTCTCGTTTTTTGTCTCTTTTTTTAATCTTAATTATTCTTAAATACATTAAAAAAATACATAAAATATTTTGTTGGTTTCCGTTTTGTTTGTTGTTGTTCTTGTTTGTTTTAAATATCAGTTCTGTTCTCGTTTTCGCATTTGATCTTGAATTTAACGAACTCGGAAGAGCGGCGATTTTGACTCCATCGAAAATCTTTTCAATTTCTTGGCTTCGTTGGGAAGTGAAAACAACTGAATTTCCGGTTTCGCTCAATTTAAACCCGATTCGAATTTGGGAACAGTTCTGGATGTGTGTGTGTATGTTTGTGTGTGTGTGTACATATATAAATAAGCTAACGGTATATTGTTTATATGTTATATGTATATGTATTTCTATATAAGTATATGCACTCTCAGATTTCGAAAAAAGGGAACGCCGAACGATTTCGAATTCGAATTCGGCTCACGTTCAGTTTTTGGTTTTTGTTTACTGTTCTTATTGTTGTTGTAGATTTACTGCATTCAGCTTTCGATATACATATGCAAGTTTTTGAAGTAGTACGCATTGAAGAGGATGCAAACAGACTGGGCGATTCGAAATCGAATTGGGCTCTTTGCGGGCGGGAGGGAAGAATTGGAAATGGGGGAACAAAGGTGGGTATACGGCCACTTGACTAAATATTTTAAAGTTACAATATATCTAAATCGGTTTAGCCCCTTTCATTTCACTTAATAAATAAAATGCAAAGAATATAGTTGACGACACCTGTTCAGTGTGACCAGAGTAAAAAGTAATCTAATAACTGTCAATTCAGAAACAATTTCTGAAAATTCTTAAACACAACATGAAATATTAAAAATACAAGTATAAATAGTTTGGTATTTGAAGTGCGTCCACTTGAAAGTAGCACATTTGATGCACTCGAATAGTAAATAGGAAAGAAACACATAGCTTAGAATTAGTTAGGGATCAAAAACTACAAAACAATGGAATAATAATGCATTACTCAATTTCGCACTGGTTATTAGATTAATTTTTACCACTGCGTTCAAAACTCTGAACACACTGCACCTGATCCTACTTTCCTTCTTTTTTCGAACAGGAGCTAACTGTGTGTGTGTGTGTGTGTCTGTATGTGTTTAACTGGTGATTAGTTGTGGATTAGTTTTTGGATCCAGCGTTGAAGATTTTGATGTTGGTCCTTCCTGTCTATCTCCAAATTGTTTTCCTCACTGTGGGCCGCCCTGTATGTGTGTGTGTATCTGCATCTGTGTGGGTGAGTGTGTGAGTGTATCGGCTGCTGGACTGCTTGGCTGCACTGCTTGCGCTTAGAGGCGCTTGGGCACCGTATCGGCATTGTTCTCAGGCTCTTCGTCCTTGGGCGGCTGACCACGTTGCTGCACGGGGATCAGCGAATTAACATTATCAAATCGGATCAGATCATTTGAGAATATCAAATGATACAAAAAACAAAAAATAATAACCACACGTCCAAGAACAAAACGTGGAAGTGAGGAGAAAGTTGAAAAGAAAGCGGAAGAGAAAGAAGAAGAAGAAGCACACACATCAATATCAATTCAATCAATTGTGGGAATAGGTTGGTGTAAATACAGCCGTTTTTCCAATTTCTACAGAATCGAAATTAGTGCAAGCTCACAAATAAATTTGTGTAAATTTTTAAAAATTCTTGGTTGAAACAGTAAAATTGTTTTAGTATCTACAGGCTTGGGGAAAGTTAATTTAAATGCAAAATTAAAAATTATGAATTTTAATTTAAAAAAGTCGTTTCTTAAATGTAGCATTTACTTTCGTTTGTTTCAATATGTATGAAAAGGAGTGACACAGTCAACTTTATTTCGAAGGCGGTTTGAGTTGAAAATGGTATGGAATGGCTTCTGGATATTAGTCTGAACCGTGAATAACTATACCAAATGAGTTGGCCGAGTCAATGAAAAAGTTCCATGGGATATCCGGGGGAACGGAGCGGTGTTATGAATGTCCTTCAAAATCTCCAAATTCTGAGTAATCTTCATTATGTGTGTGTCTCTGCGTCTCTGTGTGCTTCAATTAATATTCCAATTGTTTTGGTTTTTCTCATTATTTCTGTGTTACTCTCGAAATCTCCAGAGATTTAAATTATTTAAAAACAACAAAAATTGTTCAAATGAAGTCCAAAGTGTACTTTTTAAATTCGCTTTAATGTTTTTCATTTAATTGGTTAAGCTAACATTAAGCTTTTAAAAGGAAATGCTGAAAAGTATGCTTAAAAAAGGTTATTTTAGGTGAATCAAATAATACCTGTTACAAGCACCTCATTAATATTTCGAAATAATTTGGTTAAATCTCTAGAGCTTCCGCCCACCCAGGTGTAGATTGTAAGTAGGACCAGTGAGTTTCGGGGGTTACGGTGTTGTCCATGGAAATGGAGAGGCAAGCAGTTCCAAACGTAGTGTACATTTGTATGTGTGTGGATGTCGTGTGCGGTGGTGCATGATTGGGCCCATTAAAGTTATTAATAAAAATAAACCAATAATGTATAAGTATAGCATTAGCATATTTATTTGTTCACATGATTCTTCGTTGCCGTATTCGTGTCACATTCGCATTAGGATCGCCGGCTAAGCAGGTAAATTGTGGGGGATATATAAATTAAAATTGGCCAGGCGAATGCTGCAGCAGCCAGCTTCTGTCAGCACCGGCTATATGTAGCAGTGCATCGTCGTTGTGGGTGAATGGATCGAGTAATAATCGCAGTAGAACTTCTCCAACTCAAATTATTTCGAGCTAAGCTTACAATATATGTTTAAAGCAGCCGCTTATCTCTTTGAGCTGGCAAACCTAAAATACAATCTATTTGAACTCTTTCTTCAGTCACTAAAAAATATCTGGCAACTTTACATTTGAAAACTGGCAAACAGAATTCTTTTTTAGTAAGCGTACAAAATATTTGAACATTATTTCTGCAACTTAGGGACTCGAAATAAATTATTTCTTTGCGAGCCAGAGAAGTTCGTCTGTGGAAAATGAAACAACGACGATCACTCGGCCTCGGCCTCGGGATCAGGACGACTCAGGATCTCCTGACAGAGTGCAATATAGTCCTTGAGGCGGTGCAAAAAGCAAAGCATATGAAAAAGTGAAATCAAATTAAAATGGTATACGAAAATACCACACAGAACATAAAACACTGCGGTGACATATAATACGATCCTTGTGCGTGCGTATCGAAAATCTAAAAGGGAAACGAAGGACGCAAGCCTCTCACAATGATACCAAACAGTTAGGGTCAAAACAATGACCCTGATAGGTAATAGTATTCCAATAACTAAGTGTTAGTTAAGGACAGTCTAATCCTTGTGAATAAGAAATGAGAAGATCTTTAAAAATAATATAATAATATTTTCTTGAATATAACTGCAAGGCGATTGTCAGGCGTTCAAATGGGGGAGTACTCTAATTCGAAATGGAGCGAAATGATAGACTGCGTTTTGTATTAAATATCAGTTTCATTTTTATTTTAGTTATTGTTATTATTACTTTTGTTCTCCATTATTTTCATTTCTCGTTTCGTTTTATTTTCTCATCAATTAATTGTAAACAGTTTTCTGCACACTCTCAGATTAACTTATCAACGGTCCTCGGCCTTTCTATCGATCTCTATATAGATTTTCATATATATGTATATATATATATATTTATACTTTATTTCTAATTTTTTCTTAAAAAACTTTCTTCTCTTCTGGTTTTATTGTTTGTTTGTTTTGTTTTGCGTTCTCCTAATTACGCAAATATTCATATTGATCTTAACAACGTAAAAAAAAACAAATTTAATTAATTCGGTTTGGCAGAAGAAATGCAATTCTCTACATTATTACAATTATTGGGCGAAATTGCTCTTGCAACTACATACAATACGTTTAGATTTAAGAATTAGAAAAAAAAAGAACAACAAGGGGGAGGGCGAGTAGAATTCAGTAGAATTTGAAATGGAAAAGATTCCAATTTTGGGCCCTTAAAAAACTAAACTATACCGATTAATGCCGCTACAACTGGAACAAAGCCAAAGCTATATATGTACGTTTTTGCTTCTTTTTTCGTTTTCACTTCTTTTTACTTTACTGAACCACACACAATCTGTAATGAATTTGAATGCTGGCTTAACTTGTCGATTTATTCATCATTCGATTTCTTAATGCGTTTTTGATTGATTGTTGAACACTGCCGCAAGTTAGTTATTGGGAACGATAAGGCAACACTTGCCGTAACATTCGGTTGGAGTACAGTGTGTGCACATCATGAAAAAAGGATCCTTTTGCCATTCTTTTGGTTTCTGCTTGTCCGTGCATGCTTATGAGTGTGTGTGTGGGTGTGCGTGTGTTTGATTGTGTGTGTGTCTGATTGGGCTTTTGGGGCTTGAATCGTTCGGTTCGTTGCTCGAGTCCTGCTGCCATACTTGTTCCTCTTCATCGATCCACATCCATATCATCCAAGCGGTGGCTTCTCTTCATTTGTTTTCATTCTGTGTGTTTTGTTGTGTGTAATGTGGTGGGTTGGGAGGGAGTGTGGATTGGTTTTTGCGTGTGTGTGTGCAAGTTAGTGGGAGTGTGGGTGGTTCGGTGTATGGATGGGGATGAATGTCCTTGATGTTATTGTTGGTTTCATTGATTTTCGGCCACTTCTTTGAGGGAGTTGGGGTCTCGTTAACTTCTTCCTTAATTATCTTGCCCGCCACTACACTTGCCAGAAAAAGTATGCGTACACACTCAATGCATAACTTTGATGGCAAAAAAAGTATATTTATATAAATGATATCGACTTCATTTCTTTTTTACGTTATATTATATTAGAAGGCTTTCTTAGCTTTAAGTACCTAACTTATTTTATAGAAATTAAAAAGGTACAAATTCATGGAAATTGGCAAAATCGTAGGCAGAAGTCATTCTTCTGTACAAAGAGTGGTTGATAACTTCAATTCCACCGGATCTATTAAGTCAAAACCACGTTCTGGAAGGCCCCAAAAACTAACCGATCGCGAGAAACGGGATGTTTTATAGACGGTGATGCTTAAACCTGTAATAACAGCTTTGCAAATTGGCCAGAACATTAAGCAGAAGTTTAACAAAGAATTAAATGAGGATACTATTCGTAAAATTTTACAAGAACCACCTACATGCCCGAACTGCACGGAAGAAACTATTAGTATCGCTAGTGAACAGAAGGAAGCGCTTAGTCTTTGCCAAAAAATTTATCCAGGAGCCTCCAGCTTTCTGGAATAAAGTTATTTTAGTGACGAGAGCAAGTTCAGCATTTTCGGAATAAAAGGCAGAAAACGTGTGTGGCGTAAGAGCGTTACAGTCTTCGATGCGTAGGATTCGCCTACATACAATAACAACAAAGATAATGTTAATAAAACTTCACCCCGGACGTCACCCAAAAATTGGTGCAATCAATGCCAAAACGTTTGGCAGAAACCATTAAAAGAAAGGGGTATCCAACTTCATATTTGATTTCCCATGAACTTGTACCTTTTTAATTTCTATAAAATAAGTTAAGTACTTAAAACTAAGAAAGCCTTCTAATATTATTAATAATAAATGTCTTTATAACGTAAAAAAGAAATGAAGTCGATATAATTTATATAAATATACTTTTTTTTGCCATCAAAGTTATGCATTGAGTGTGTACGCATACTTTTTCTGGCAAGTGTACCTTGGGGATCTTCGCGCTTTTGGTCGGCTCTATGGGATTCTATGGGATTTATACATGGTTTTATTTGTGTTACATAAACGCTGATCGATATTTGTGTTCATTATTATTTGGAAGTACTATGTTGCTTATATCGTTGTTTTCTCTACTTTAAATTACTTTCTGCTTAGCTATCATTATACCTCTTACTCATTCTCTCTCACACACTCTCTTTTCTCTGTCTAATTCGAGTCTCGTTTGTTTGTTTTATTTTATTTTTTTTTGTTTTTGGTCAAGTGTTGCACCGCCAGTGTTGTAAAATGTCACACAAAAACATACATACATCAAAAAAGACGAAACGAACAGGTAAAAACACATATGTATGTAATTGGTTAATTGACTAAAGCAAATAATATATATGTATAAGCGTGTGTGTGTGTGGGGGGTTTTTGTGTGTGTATTTGAGAGTTATGCTTAAGTTTCAATGCGAAGGCTTTCCTGCTAAGCGGTAATACTAAAAGCTAACAAAATACATGTTTCTGAATGTTTTCACGGATATTAGATTAAAATTAAAATCAAAATCGCATGAGGTTTCCACATGTTTGAGTGTACTCTAAAATGAATAAGCGTGTGCTTGTGTGTCCTTTCATCTAATTAGTTTTGTTATACAATTTCTTCTGTTGAATGTTTAATTTCTCTGTTGTGTTTATCTTTCTTCTTCTCATTTAAATATAAACGCAGTTTGATTTTGTTTTTTGTGTTTTTTTTTTAGTTTTTATATTTATATAAATGAAACTTTGCTCCTAGCGTTAAAAAACCTCAATACAGTTGTCTCTCTCTCCGTCTCTCAGTGTGGTTGTTGTTGTTGTGTGTTGCTGTCTATCGGTCTTCCCGTTGTAAACTAACATTTCGTTTTTGTTTGGTTTACATGCAGTTTGAATGGATTGTTTTTTGTTGTTGTGTTCGTGCGTATGTGTTTGTGTTGTAGTATTTGTTGTTGTAGGTGGATTTATTTAATTAGTTTTTCTACACCCAATGTTAAGAATCGATCGATTGGAACGATCGATTGTAGATCGATAGGTTTGATTTTTTGTTTGTTCAGACAGGCAGAGACATGTTTGGATTCATAATATATATATCATATTCAGGTTCAGTTTGTCGATCGGATTTTATGTATGTTTAATTTGATTTGGGTTGGTTTTTTGTGTGGTGGTGGTGGTTGGTTTGGTGGTTTTGTATGTGTGGGGAGAGAAAACAAATAAAAAAAAAGATATAATATATTTATATGCTTAGTTGAATGATCCTTAGGTGAGGTTTTTTTTTCTTTTTTTTTTAGTCAATATATAGATTTTTAGATTCCAAAACAAAAAAGATGAGGGAGTGGGGTAAACGGTGGAAAGGACACTTAAAGCTAGTTATTAAGTTTTAAATTTACCGCTCGTAGTGGCATTTTAAAATTGGCTGCTGCCTGCAGCTGAATTTGATAAGCTAAGCTGTGTATTTTAAAGCCATACAGCCTATTTGTTGTTGTTTAAGTTGTCGTCGTGTTGGATACAAAAATACATAAAATATAGAGAGTGTAAACAATTTGTGTATCTACAATAAGCGAAATAAATCTCACCTTGGAACAAACTGATTAGTAGGACGCTTGGGACGATATTCGGGATGCACCATGAAGAGCATGTGTGGAAATCCAGTGCCGAAATAGGCGCCATCGGTGTGGTGATGGCGCGACGATTTTGGTGTGTACACGTCAATGCACTTAGGGCAATAGGTCTTCACCATTGCCTCGCCGGGGATGTCCGACAGACCTGAGGATAACAGGAGGATTAGATCAATGGCAGAGCAGCTTAAAGATCTGGTATCTAGTCCGAACTTGTTGTTAGAATCTGGGACATACGTAGCTAAATTGATTTAACTGAACATGATATCAATAATGATCATTCACACACGTTCAGTTCCAGCAGAAGTTCTAGAAATATAAATAAGTTGTCAATCGCATTCGCAGAAATGTTTACAAGGCACGTCTAGCCAAATTGTTGATTTTCACAGAATTGTTGAAGTGTCGAATTGGAAGATTCGGAAAGGATTTATTTATTTACGTCTGGGGATCGAGAAGCTTTGCAAAGGCATTGCATTCAGGTTTCAGTTATTTAAGTATTGAAAACAAAACAGCGAATTAAAGTATATTCTACTTAAGAATGCGTTGATATTTTCTGGGTGTGTAATTACTTGGGTTAGCCTCAAGGATTTGCTTTTCAGGAAATTTCAATAGATGTTGTACTTATGAACGCGTTAATCATTTCTGGAAATGTAATTACCAAGCAAAGCCAATGTTTTGAAAATGGAGCACGATGTTGCTCGTGGGTATGTTGTTCTCAGATTATAATAAATTTCGAGCAGATAGATTAGTATTATGTGAGGTAGCAATTGGTAAGAGCGATTAATCAAGGATCTGCTTACGCACCCAATGGCAGCATGGGCTGACTTTCACAGTAGACACGTGGACAATGTCCGAAATCGCCAGTTTGATATTTCTCGATCATTTGAGCGATGCCGCGATTTGTTAGTATATATCTGGCGTGTATGAGGCCGTAGAGCATCTCGGCGGCCTGCTCGGTCATGTCGGACTGCAGGGGATTGTCCTCGAGCTCGTCCTCTGTCGATTGGATGGCACATTAGCTACATGCATTAGCATTTTGGAGAGGGAAACATCCCATTCCGATCTTACCCGGCTCCAAGTCCAAGATCATGTCCAATGCTTGCCGATAGTTGGGCACCTGCTCATTTAAACCAGTTAAATTGAATTTATCCTGTATGTAGTCCTCATCCACCTGAAATCGAAAAAGCATGCAATTAGGATCTGTTCTGGAATATACCCCTATATATCTACTATATCGTGGGGTATCTGCATGTGTGTACAGTTGGGCACGGGATTGCCCCACCTTGCGGCACAACACACACACACACACAGAAACACACACGCATATGCTGAGATTCAGGGCTGCACTTTGCAATTGTTGCACTTATAGCGCGCGCTTAGATAACGCGATTACAGTGAATATCGCGGGTAAAACGTCGCTGATGATGATGATATCTCACCTCGCAGAAGAACTCATTGCCACGAAGTCCACAGAACCAGGTGACCCAGGAGACTTCCTCGGAGCTGCTCATTTTGCTGTAAAGATAAGCGAATGGAGTTGCTAATTCATCTTTTCATATTTTTTTGCTGACAAATTATCCTGCACACGCATACCATACATGCACATCCGCACACACACACACACACACACTCATACGCAATCATGGCACGCACACTGGTACAAACGCTCACGCACTGTTACATACATTAAGGGGATTATTTTGCGTAATTTGGGCTGGCGTGCGGAATTTATTGTTAAAATATCATGGAACGCAAACTTGACGAAAGTTTTTCCACTTTCTTGTTTCCCCAGCCCCCCGTTTTCTTTTCGTTTCCTTTTGGCTCCGCTTCTTGTTGCTCGCACACACCACACTCTCTTTTTCCGCTTTTTTGTCGTTTTTTTTCTTCCTTTTTTTTTTGGTTGAATTGGCTTTTGGGGATTTTGTTTGATTCTCGTTGCTTGTGTAATGTTAGTAATTTCCGATGATCACACCGTTGCAATTCGTTTGAATGTGGGGAGCGGGCAAAAAAATAAATTTTTATACTCGTATTTTGACAATTGACAAGCGCTCATACAAAATGTGCCGAGCAGCAAGAAGAAGCACACCACTGTGGAACTGAGAAAAAAAGAGACACATATACAGGGGCCACCACACACACACGCGCACATAGAGACGTGCACACAAGCACGCCTCCACACTGATGAGCGCAATGCAACGCACACCGACTTGATATTCTGCATTATTTCCGCTGCGGCTGTCTTCCAGTGGCAAGCACTCACCTAAATTGTTAATAATTACGCAAATTGATTGACTTTTGCAATGCAGCTGAACCGGTAAAGGCAAATATTGTAGCGAAGACGATGATACCAGGTATGCAATCGGCACTATCGATAACTGCCGTCCTGCGCTGTCCGCAGGCGATTGTCAATCGATGTGACGCCGTGTCATCGCTAAGCGATATATCGGCAAATCTGGAAACACTGTTTCGGGAACGTTATACTAATATAAGTAGGAATGATTTGTCAAATAAATGAATTTATTAAAACATGATTTATTACCAGCATTTAGTTGCTGTTCTCACTATTTATCTATCGATTTATTGGTTACGTATAGCAATTTGGTCTGACTATTACAATTGGGTATTATTTTGTATCAGTTGTATGGTCACACTGGGTTGAAAGTTTTGAAAGTACATTTTAAAAAAAACGTTATTATCGACAAAATAAATCGGTTTTTGGTATATTATTTTTTCTTATGTGATTATTTAGACTAATAATACGTCTATAATTATGTGCATGTGCCCCCCGTCACAGCTTATTGACAATCTTGAAGATTTCCTTCGCTCTCTGGCGTCCATTCACCACATAAGCCAGCGGATCGTCACGACTGGATTCCATAAGGTTGTCGCACGATTCCTGGCCGATGTCGAACATAAAGGATGTGTCAATATCCCGCGGCAATTTGCCGCGCAGGAAGCTAATCTCGTTGTCGGCCAGAGATGTTTTCCGGGACAAAAGCAGTGCGGACAGGTAACGCGGTTGTTTCTTCTTCTCGGCGCAGTGCATCACCAGGCCCCAGGTGTCGTAATCCGTGTCCAGAACGTACGTGTTGTAGATGCCCTCATCTGCAAGGGCGTATTTATATGCAATAAATAAGTTTAAATACTGCTTAAAATGTATCTTAAAACCAGGGCAGAACGATTTTGCTCTTAAGAGTATACACTGAAATACGCAATCAGTAAATTCCGCTGCATAATTGCAGGCACTCTACTGCATGGTATACTTTTAGGCATAATAGTTGCCAAATTATTTCAAACCTATTTCAAGTGCTTTTTGAAAGGGAGTTTGTAAAAACATTTTCTTCACTCACATATGTCCTCCGTGTGCTGCCAATGTCCTGGCTCTTGGAATTTGGGTATCATCCAGGTGATGTTGCCCACGAGCTTCTCGCGCAGCGGATCCTCCGCGAATATGTAGCTAAAGTTCATCGTTATCTAATTGAAATCGAAATTCAGCTATTATTTGTGATGGGTACAGAGGATCCTGCTGCCACTCACATGTTGATCCTCTTTGGAGAACGAAAAGTGACTGCGCATGCACGCGTATTCCGGAAGTTCCTCTGTGGATGCGTAATACTGAACCACGTGCCAACAGCCCATCATGCGTTCCAAATCGAAGTTTTTAATGGCGCCCACCTATGCGGTAAATTTTACAACCATATCAAGGTATAATACTCTTTTTAGGGGATCTTTATAATGTTATTGCTTGCCAGGAACGGCAAAACCTCTTGAGATCAATTACTTTTTTTTTTTTTTTTTTTTTCAATTACTGTGAAGAAAACGTCCTACGAACATTTTTCGAAAGTTTTGGGCCGTTAGCTGTTTATGATTCACATAAATATCTTGTATTTATGATCATCCTTAACACAGTTGTACGGTAAATGGGAATTTAAGAACCCTATTTGAGAGGTCAAGGCTGCTAATAAATAAGCCCAATAAACGTTTAGACCGCAAATGCATCTGGGCTAAAATCGCCCTCCAAATTGGTATTTACATTGTTTGCCCTGGCGACCACAAAACACAAATTTCGGTTGGTGAAAGAGTTAAAGGAGCGACAGACGACGAAAGCCGTTAGCGCTGTCATTGTGATTGACTACTGACAGTTCATTGAGGAGTATGGCCGTCTCTCTCTGCGCCGCTGTTGCCGTCTCTTTCGCTGTCTTGCAAGACGCGACGCGCAGACACGAGATGCAGACGCAAGACAGCCTCTGATTGATGCGCCTCAAAAGCGCATTGCACCGCATGTGCCGTCCCCCTTCTCTCCTTTTCTGTCTCCTCCTGTCTTCCCGCCGTCTCTTTCTTGAGGTCTCTACGTGCGTGTCTTTTGTCTATTCTTGCTGATTGTTTTCTGGCTTTTGGCTCGCTTTTCGGTGTTTGTATTCGTAGCAGTATTTGTCGAACTGCACCTGCATCAAAGTGCAATTGTCGCCGCCAACGAAGATGCAGACGGAAAAGCGAGGGGTGTGAGAAGCAAGGGGCGGGCAGAAGAAGAGAAGAGGAGAGGGGAGAAGACAGCGAGACTCAGACGACGTCTGAGCCACTTAGAAAGTGTGATTGATTTTGGCATCGGTGTGAGCCCATTTCTTCTGCCTGGCTCTTTCTGCGCTCGCTCTATGTCCCATTCATTCTACTCGCTAGAGATGGAACGTGCCCGCACGGATGGATGGATTGCCAGTGCGGCAGGATTGAGAAATATCCATTACAAGGCCCTTTAGTAATTTTATAATACAATATTACACTATCTTTCAGGTTAGAGTTCATATTCATAGACACAGAGTCGTTTCAGTTAAGGAAATTCAACTGTAGACGCAGCTATTTCTGACAGCTAACTAGATGGTGCCATCACTAGCGACTTGAAATATGTCACAGTGCGCTCGGCATATTGATGAGTCTTTGAGTTTGACTCGCTTTTGGGCTTGGATTTGAGATGCTTTCCTCCGCCGGCGGCTGTGCTTAGAATGAAATCGAATCGAAGCGTTGCCAAAGAAAGTGATCCAGTTAGGAGAGGCCGGGGACGTGACCAGGGACGGGAGCCTGTACATCCAAAACTGCACCTGCGTCTACTGAGGCTATCTAATGGATAGCCACGACTCACTGCCGTTCTATTCGCTTTGCTCTTTAGCCAGGCCAAATTCATCGTCCCAAGGTGACCTTAATATCTGGTTGTTTTCAAACAATTTTTGTAATTTTCTCTATAGTTATATAGGGTTTCATTCGTAATTTGAATTTGATAAGGGCTTTTTACATCACTAGCAAGAGACTGAGTCATAGTGTGAACTACATACATATATCACATATATGTAAATATGCTTAGTCGACCTTGATGGGAGGGGCTAGTGGGTGGAGTACATACCTTGGGACACCGATTGCTGGGACCTGAGCGCCTCCTGGTTTGATAGGCATTGCTATTGTGTCGTGTCCACAGGTTGGCACCCACCGGTGTGAGCCAAACATCCAGGATGATTAAGAGCACGGCGATCAGCAGGAGCGATCCATTCCTGCCCATGATCGTTGGCATTATTCCGGATCACGGTGAGCTATAATTGTTTATTGTCGTCAATCTTCCGGTGGGCTCAGACGCTCGATCTCCGTTGAGCTGTAGCTGGTACTGTTGTCGATGGCACTGCGCCATCTCCGCGAGCAAAATGCGACATTAGCATCCAGCTGTAAGTGCACATTGAAAAAATATTGTGAGAAAATGGTGCCATGTCTTTAGTTTGAAAACTACTGTAGGTGCTAGGTATCATTAAACAGTTTGAATGTCTTTCGGTATGGCTCTTATGTTGTTGAGCTGCAATAACTATGAAATATGCCTTATTTTTCCCAACAAATGTAAATTATCAAATGATCGAAAAACGTATTATTTGAATTACTCAAATACTGAGATTTGCTTTTCCGAGTGTATAACAAATCGGAACGCAACAGATTCGGATGTTTTTGCGGATAAGGCGCCTTCGTATTGCCACAGAATTCTATGGGAATAGCTGTGGCTGGGTCATTATCGGGTGGCTGGAAATAAATGCGACGTTACTGAGCACTTGGCTGGATTTTAGCTATACATTGGAGTTGATTTGAGCGGGGAAAAGTAGATGTTGGCTTGCCATTTGAGCGTAATTAATTCAGTTCGATTGTTATTTAAAAATACAACCTATAAGATTCCAGGATATGGTTTGCCTTACCTTTCCACTACTTCCTGCAATCGCTGGCATCGAGAGTTTAGCGGGTTTCCAAGGCGATGTCATCTCTTCCAGTAAATTAATATTGGAACTTAATCAGTCGCTTGCTCTCTTTCCAAGAGCGCGGGTGAGTTAATCGCTCTTATCAACTGTAACGTCCGTTTGCCAGTCAAGTCCAGTCAACGCCTTCCAGTGCGCACAAATGTATATATCTATATATGTGTATATAGAAAGATGCATGGAAATATATAGAGTGTGGAGAAGAGGAGTAGGTATTTTTGGCTGCATCTTGTTTTCACTTGTCGCATGGATGCAGATTTCCAGATTTCCTGATTTCCAGGCAACTTTCTCGCCGCGGAGAGCGAAATTTTCGGGGTAGTGTGTGCTGGCAGTGGTGGATGCGGGAGGGGGGAGTTGGCGAGCGGTGAGTGGAAACAGGAAACATTTTAATAGCCAGCAAATTTATTCTTTACGATCGCCAGAACGAACAGCGCGATCCGCTGGACACTTTCTCTTTATTGCGAAACGAGTTGCGCGGCATTTTCACGACCGGGACTGGAATGAAACTGGACATCCTCGAAGGTTGCTACTTTTGCCGCCGCTTCTTCTTCCGCCTGCGTCTGCAGTTTAGCTTCTTTTTACAACGCGCATTTTTCTTCTTCATCTCTCATTTCTTTTGGAGTCGTCTGGTTTTTTGTTGGCCAGCCCAAAAAAGCGGCGCAACTTTCGTCGCCGCATTGCGTTGCGATGCGTTAGCGGCCAGTTCCGGCTTCTACCGCAGCTCCTTCCTCGCCCCTTCCATTGCCTTTCTCCCGCCTTTCGCCACCCCCTCTCCGCACCCTTCTCGGCGCTCGGCGCTCTCCTTCCCCATCGCAGACGCACCGAAGCGAAAAGCGGCTCTTAATGCGGCAGCGAAACGAAATGAAACGAACTAAGGCAACAAGTGCGCACTGCGCAATCGAAGAAATGTCGCCTGCTCCTTTCGCTCTCCCGCTCTGCTCTCCATTCTCTCTGCTCTCTCTCGCTCTCCCTGGAGCATGCTTGTGTGCGTGTGTGTGCCAGCGTATGAATGAAACCCAAGATCAAGGGCGGATAAAGGACAGGATCAGCGGGGAGCAAGACAGAGAGACCAAATAAGTAGGCCAATATTCCCAAAAATCCTTAACCCATGTGTGGGCAAACATTTTGAAGCTCAATCAACTAAATTAATAACAGGGAAATCTATAATATTCTTACAAATACTCGAATATATTTTACCATTTGAATAATGCCTTTTTAATTTGAATATACTACGTATAAAATAGTTGAAGTTATTAAGGTCCGCAGAAGTTATTTATGCTGCCAAACGAAATCAGAAAAAAAGCTGTCTTCGAAGTGTTGTTAAAAGTTTCTATTCTGATTGGTTAGTGCGTTATTGGTTAATTGGCTGTTTTTTAAGATTTTGTTTCTTGGCACCGCTCTCACTAGTTTTTCGCAGTGTGCCCATCCGGCTGGCCATTGCGTTTTCTCAATGAACGACGCTGGCTGAGATCCATCCAACCGATGTGGCCACATAAATGGGGGTCTGTAGCTGGAATCGGAATGCCTCGCTCACTGGGAGTGCCACACCCGAATCCGACTTTGAATTCGAGTTGGCATCCAAAAACTGAATGGGGCAACAGGTGGGGCAACTGAAATCTGTGCAGCCGGAATCGGAATCCACAGGTGAGCCTGAGCTTGAGCTTGAGCTTGAGCTACAGGTGACAGCCGACGGAATGTCTGGCGCGGTGCGGTGCGGAATGTCAAACGTTTATTTGCCGGTAATTAAATTTGAAAATGATTTAAATTTCACCAGCGCATATTCCAAATTGGTCTTAACACTTTCTTTCGCAGCATCGCTGCGTTTTGTGTCTCTTTTTGGCCAATTGGCCACCCGCAAGCTGCGCCGATGACCCAACTACTTAACCAGCCACCCCCCCTTCGATCCTCCGCCCATGGGCAATCCATGGGAGCAATCCGGCTGATTGGAGATTTGTTTTCTATTTGCAATTGATCGATGCTCGCCTGCCAAGCAATCCGCAACAACAGCCACATAAAATGGCAAAAATAAAACGCCACAACAAATTGGTTGAAAAAAAAAGAAAAAAAACGTTAACGCAGAAATTGAGCTGGACGCCTTTGGTTGGTGTCCACGTCCAGTGGGTTCGTTAATGGCATACCGAACTTGGGATCAGATGGATTATGGTACCAACTTTCAGCTCCCAAGACAATGGACCTTCTTGATTAGCGAGATAGGCAAATTTCTCGTTTTATTGAAAGTATATACATTTTACATCGACATACTTTGGAGTCCAAGGTTTCTACTAGTTGTAGATTTCCACTTGCAGTTATAAGCCGAAAAAAAAATATATATCAATACGAATTTGATTCATAACACTTGAAACAATTACATAGTTGCTTATATAATCTGAGGATAATATTCGCGCATTTGTTAAATAGAAATCTCTATTGCACTGCAAACATCGCAATTAGCTGCAACTTGAACCCATTCTCGCAACTGAGCCAAGCCATTAAGATCTTGGCCTTTGCAAGTAAATCAACTTTTACCCACTCCGAGCATTCGGAGCATGATTCTGGAGTGGTGGAGTGGTGGCCATCAGCTGCTCCTCCAACTGATCTCGTCGGCGTACAAGCGTGCGGCTGGGAAAGCGTGTGGGATTACATGGAGTGCACTTGGTGCCACATGATACACCGTAGATCATGGCTAGTTTTCGCTGGCCACCGGCTCAATTATGCAGAGACACAAGCTCGTAAATGCTGGAAAATCTGCGGTGTATCCAGGGGTGTGCAGGGGTACTTCGGTGCGGATTGGGGCCTGTGCGTGCCCTTCCCATGGCCAACATCCATCCAACCATCCAACCATCCAACCATCCATCCATCATCCGTCGTCCAACATGGTCCGAAAAACATAACCCATCAAGTGGGTTCCGTTTTGTTTGCGCATGCGCGGCGCATTCAGCATCGATATTTCACGATCGTCGTCTGCGGCACAGACACCCAGTGTGTTTTTGTTTTTTATGGCGATGGAGTAGAAAAATAAAAACAAAATGGAAAATATGGGGGGCAGAGGATGGAGGCGACTTCGTGCTGCTATTTGGTGGTCCGCGATTTTGTTTTCATTTGGAAAGTGGGTGTGTTTGTCTAGCTGTCTACCCAGGCTCCCCAGACTCCCCAACTAAACAACTCGCAGACTTCTCCAATGTCAACGGCTTGGTCACCACTTGGGTCACTACTTTGGGTCTGGGAAAATGGCACCCCTGATGGACTGGGGTCAACTGAAAACGGAATTCGCTGGGCCCGATGAAAGGAAATGCGAGGAAAGTGATCTACGATGCTCTTCAAAGTGATCTTCCCAATATGAGGGGCAAGTTCAACGCAGTCAAGTGGTCTATCTAATTTATGACGACGTTTTGCATGATCTCTAAATATTTAACTATTTTCGGTTTACGATTTACGAGTGAAAACTGTAAAACAGTGAAATACCATACGGGGCCCAACAAAATGAGTAAGAGTGTAATTAAACTGATATCTGGTTATCTTTTCGGCTTAGCAAATCACTTTTAGTCTTTTATCACTCTTATTTGGAGCAAATTAAGTTGTGCCTTTTGTGTGGTGTTACCCAACCCATCGATATGAAAGTTCTGCATCTCGTTTCCCAGAAATAAAACTTTCATGGCGAGAATGTAGCTCAAAAGTATCCGAAAAGTGTATATATGTGTATTTTTTTTGCGGAACTTTCATAACCGACTCGCATCGATCGATCGATCCCATCCAGCCATTCATCGAATGGGGTTCGTCCGCACCTGAAATTCCATTCGATTTCCAGGCTGAAGATATGGCCGCAGGCCAAGATACTTGCTCGGATACTTGGGATGCCGCGATGCGTACTCTCAGATACTCCGAAATACTCCCAGATACTCGCGCTGGCTTAGATTGCCGAATTGCAAAGCGGATCGAATCGAATCGGATCGGATCGGATGGGATCGGATCGTATCATAACGTTTGGAATCGGCTGAGGAGGACAAGGGGCAGTGGACCTGGCGACTGGTTCGACTGAAGAATCTTTTTCGACAGCGGCTAATTGACTTTCAATGTTGTTTTATTTTTCTTTCGTTTCGTTTAATTTCATTTGAGCGTTGTCGAGGCGAGAAAGTGAAATTGATAGGCAGACAAGTGGCTCTCCCAGCGAATCCGAGCTCCAAGCTCCGAGCTCCAAACTGTCTGTCAGGCGGCGGGTATCCGAATGGGATTCTAAGGAGGCACTTTCTAAGTCTCCGAAGGCATGAGTTGCAACTGGCCGTGCACGGCGGGAAAAATCACTATCAATCACTAAGATCTAGTTTTTAATGTTGAAATATTAAATACTATACAAGAATTAAATTCTTAAAAATCTTTCTATTATTAGGTTATATTAAGGTATTATAATATAAACAAGATTACACTGAAATGAGGCTAAATGACTTTTTCTTTTGTGATTATTGGGTTTACACGCACTTATGTTGTAAGTATTATTGGTGCGCTTTTCTCGCAGTGCAGCGGCGGCTGCGGCTTTAACCCCATTCTGCTCCCTTGGGTGGCGGCTTCTTCGCTTAATTTTTCCACACCCACCGCGGACAAAAAGTGTCTTCTCATGGCCTAATGGCGGCTATTGCTACTGTTTGCTGTTGCCGCTTTGTGGCGACACACGTTGCTGTTGCAGTTGCACTCGCAGCAACTGCTGCCGTGGCACTTGTTGTTTTCTGCTGTCGGCGTTTTCACTTTGGTCCATATCTGCCATTGCTACCTTGTAACCCCTCTGGGCGCTGGCCAAACAGCCGAAAGGTTATACCAACAGCAGCAGCAGCAGCAGCAGCAGCAGCAGCAGCACGTTGCAGTTGCGGCAGCAGCAGCAGCAGCAGCCAGCGGGACAGATGACAAACGCAGGCTGCTTTGCCCGGCGATGATGAAGTGTCAATGCAATGAAAACTAAACCAATAAATTGTGAGAGCGACCCAAATAGTTGGCTAGAAAACCGGCGTGGCGAAGAGGATTTTGGCCCGTCAACTTATGTAGTATGTGCACATGTACATATGTGCACATGCATGTATGTGTCCACTTCATGTTGCACTAGCTTCAGATGCAGCAAGAACCGTAGAATCCCGATGGACGTACTTCGACCCGATCCACCGGCATCTTGTTTTCACCCAGACCTTTTGCAACGCACAACAAACCCAGGTGACACCACATTTGGTCAGCCAGCAAGCCCATGCCCCCAGTACAAAATACAAAAAAAGCAAGAAATAAGAAAATAAAAACGGAAAAAAAGTTGTGAGAAATTGAAGCGCAATTCAAGTCGGCGGTGGATGGTGAAAGTAACAAGATACTTTTAATAAGACATCTCGCGCTGCCGCTTAAGATGCGTGAGGCGTGCGACCAGAAAAGCCAGCGAGTTACTGCCCTTCTTTATATGATATGATATATGTATGCCTCCATGCCACCATGCCACCATGCCACATACCATGAGCTGCAGGTGCTTCCGCTGTGATTTCGGATCGAGTGCGGAATCATCATGGATCATGCAAAATCGGCAGTAATTGACCAAGTTAGCAGACGGCAGACGGCAGACTGAATGGCGCGTGTTACTTAATGTTGTGTGCAATGCGCAGCGATAGACGCCACTTTCTGGCGGAACCGGAGCAGCTTTGGAGCACCACTGGCCCCACCACTGGTGACTCCAATCGAAATTACTCCAATTTCGAAACGGGTCTCTTTGGTCATATTCAGCAAACAGGAATGCATCGCGAGGTGGACGCGCCAAAGGCGCCCCTAAAAACTCAAAACTGCAAAGTGGAATCGAAATGGCGATGAAATGCCCGGAACACATGGAATCGTCATGGGGCGGCACAGTGGGTCATTGGGTC